CGCGCATACATGTACATACACGACAGCATCGCGGTGTCTTGAAACTGAAACGTACGATATCGTCGCGCATTAATGATTATTTCCAGATTTCTTTGTCGTTACGAGTTTTTTTTCTCTTTGTTTTCACCGCGGAAAATTGAGTAGCGTAATATAACACGTCGCATTTGTCGAAATTGTCGGAAGTCTTAATCGTCACTAACGTCGTTAACGTCTCTCTGACACGGAAATCGCGATCTCTCTCTAAACGCCCACATTCGCGAAACTGGCGCGTTTCGTACGTCAGCGCGCGACACGACGGAAATAGAACGTAAGTACGTACGTTTTGCATCGTTTTTGTCTTATGTAATAATAATAATAATAATAACAACAACTTTATTAAAGACGCAAATATATTATGTAAAGGAAGACTTGTAGAGAATTCGCGGAGGATTAATTTCCTGACGCTTGCTCTTTCGAATACCCTGGCGCGGCGCGCCAGTTGCAATTTTCCGAAGCCCGATAAGAGCTTAAGGAAGTTTTCGCCCCGGGATCGCGATCTTCCGTCACGAGAGCGCGCGCGCCCGCCCGGAGCTTGACGTAAGAAATACGAGCGGCTGCGGTTTCAACCCCGTCGGTGGAAATTACCGTGAAAAAAAGCCTCGCCGAGAGATCCACATTTACGATACACTCGTGCGCGCCGTTCTCTTTTCGAAAAGAGACCAGAATTATACGTTATATGAATCGTAATACACGTAAGTTCAGAACGTGGTCTCAATCTACCGGTGCACATATCGCGAACACGAATGAAACCGCTTGTCGAATAAAATATTTCTCTCAAACTTAATCACTTTCTCGCGGTTTAAATCTGGACTCGGTCTTATTGCGAGATCATCGTCGTGTGAAATACCACAATGTCGAGTTCACGAAACAAAACGTGTGTGGTGGTATTATATTCGTGCGCGAACTCACAGATTGCGAATTTCGACGGATCTTTTTGGCATCAAGTGAATATCACGAATATCATGATAATGATATTCGCGTATAACGATGGTTTGAATATTACACATTGTATATCTCTCGCTTCAAATTACGCCGAATATTATCGCCGATATATATTCCGTTCTTCTTCGGAAACTATTATAACGTTCCGAAAATAAATTCACAGAGTTGCTCGGTGAAAACGTCGTTGCGTATGCATTGGATATGCAAATAAATTTTGCACCGGTATATACGCGGTACGAGGGGAGATCGAAGCAAAGTTTTTTGCTCCACGGTCTTGAAAATATCGGCGCGCGCGCGCGCACGAGTCATTATTTGACATTACGGTAATTTCCCAAGCGAATCATGTCATCGCGCGCTCACACGAGTTACAACGCGGCGCGAATGATGAAAGCTGCAAATTTTTGCATATCGCGAATGTTTTTTTTTTTTTTTTTGTTTTTAATGTATTGCTTTAAATTCGAAGGAGTTCTGACATTTTTTAAATAAAAGTAACAACTGAAGTCTATACTGGCAAAATATATATACTCTACGCTCTTTGTGTGAATCAATTAAATTCTCTTTTTTGTTTACGTCGGTGTTTACTAATAATATCGATAGAAGCGCAGATACGTGACGTAATTGCGAGCAGTCATTAGGCGCACTAAGTTGCGGGGTAATACTTCAAGAAAAAAAACCTACGCGCGCGTGCGGAGAGGGTTTGGGTCGCGTCGTTAATTATTCGCGTCTCGGTCCGTTGTCCTGCGTACTTGTCTTTCATTTCCGTTAACAAAGGAAACTCCTCTCAAGTGTATATCTTGTCTGTTTGTATCTAGTTAACTCTCTCTTTGCACCGAGTACGTACGCGCGCCGGTGAACGCAATATCCTTTTAGTGACAATAATTAATATTGTTACATGTCGAACCGCGTTAACTGTAACAAGACTTGAACTGTAATTCAGTTGAACTACGGTTTAACAATTTGTTAACAAGATATTAACGAGCGCGTTTATTGACCTGTACTTCACGTGACCTCAAAATTGTCAAAATTCTCACGAAAATCGGTTTTTCATTTTTTGCTAAAAGTTCTCTGAAAGATACTGCGTATCTTTTCGTCGCTTTTGTGGTAACACTATTGTTTAATCATTAGTACTTAATAACGAGTGCCAGGTGTAGGTTAAAACAATTGTTCCGCCGTTACAAAACGTTTTGGTGGCGCCGAGCTGTGTGTTACACACTGGAAGAAACGTTGGATTAAACCCGACGCGACCGAAAAATATTGCGGATGGGCGCGTAGATCTAGTTCTCTCACACACGTCCGACCCATAAATCGCATTTTCCGCGACATACCGAGAAGCAAACAGTACCCTTTTCGTTTCGTCACTGATTAGGAAACTTCGTGCTTTCCTCCCCCGTCGACCGACCCGTCTGCGCGGAGCTGTATTTGATTTGGCTTTAATGCGATTTCTCGTGGCAACAGCCGCGGCCTCGTAACCGCTTCTGGCGTAACGTTGAAGAGGGCAAAATAGATGGCGAGCGAAGGAACTTGATTACTCCTGCCTGTTTTTTTTTTTTTTTTGCTAATGAAAATTTCGTTGATTTGGTTTAAAATTTGAATTAATTCTTTTAACGATAAAAGCTCTTTTAGTCTCAGTACTTTTTATATTTACTAACGTTTGTTATGTAGTCAGAAATGTTGGAAAAACTTTTGTAAGAATAAAGTTTGGAAGCATTTTTCGTATCATTGGAACTAAATTATCTATTTATCGCAATTTTTCGACTAAATTTTGTCTCGTGAAAATTTGGTTGGTTGCGATCGATACTTCTAGTTATTCAGACTTACAATAACGTGTGTAAACATTTATATATAGTAACCGAGTTATCGCAAAACGTTACTAGCGAATACAGAGATGGTGACAATCAACGTGTGCGTCACGCCTTTGGTGATATCAGCGACTTCATGAATGTGAAAACAGAGAGAGAGAGAGAGAGAGAACTTGTGCTATGATAATGTTCACCAGAGTCTACGGTGGGTTATCAGAGGGCGATATCTACATAGACTACGTACGTAGATTCCAAGAGGAAACTTGATTGTTACCTGAACAGACACACTCCGTGGCAGCGCAATCGATCGTGCTCTTCCTTCACAGGAACTGTGTTCCTCTCTTGCGACATGAGATAGCGTGCAGTCGTGGATGCGTGAGCGCGTAATATCGATTTCTCATGGAAATTCTCCATTCATACGTCACGCGATATCGCCGCGCGATGTATTTCGAGAATCGAAATTTGCTGCTCTCCATCTCGACGACACACTCTCGATTCTAATCTTTTTTTTAGCGTCTTCCGCTCAATTTCCCGTTGTCTTTGTATCGCTCCTCGATATCGACGAAGGGAAATTCACACAACATACACAATACACACTGTACATCTCTTCCGAAATCTCCCACAGATTTCCTTCACGTATCTGACCTTTCCCAGTCAACTTCGATTTTGTTTATTTATTAATTTTTTTTTTCTGACTTTCCTTTTCTCGTACACGCACTTCCCCCTCTCGATACAAGCAAGAGTCTTTTAATGATATGACGATGACCGTGATATGACATGATACGATATGATATGATATGATAATGAGATGATTAATGTGATCATGACCATGATTTCTTACCATAATTTTTATATTTACTTATTTGTTGCACGTTGTTTGGTGCGTCTCCGTAAAGCAGTATGAGGCGCTCGCAGACCCCCTGGTCGTCGACATTTCGACAAAGTGTCCTCCATATCTCTCGTGCGATGAAAACTTGAAACGAGTAACTTGAAACGTCGCCGCGATTCTCTCGACACTTTAAGAAACGACTCTCCGACCCTTCCAAACCTTTGGCCTGTAAAATGTCTCGGAATTAATTAATCATGTTTCGACAATTTTCTTGAAAACTGTTTATGTTATTGATGAAATTTTTTATTACTTACTACTTTCTTCTCGGTGTTAACAATCATATTTTTGAAACCAATCCGAAGTTTCTTAACGTTGTTTTATTGCAGATAGCCGACTTGATTGTTTAGTTTCTCGGTATAATATTTATAATATCACATCGTGAACACCTTCGGTTTCTCGTTAAAACTGTCTGCGAATTAATATCAATATAGGTAGTATCAATACGAGTCAGTTATCGATCTTTCTATTATAGCAAAATAAAGAGATTTTGGTGCAAAAAAAGAAGTCGCGAAACTGTCGCGTCTCTGAGACAGCCTTAGGAATTAATTAGCGTGTCTCGCGATACATAACGACCGATCCACGAGAGAGAGTTTCACGGCTATTGTGCGTCAGAGAAATAAATAGAGCCTGCTCGGAGAATAAAACGGGATCTCACAGGGTAATGGAAGGGTTCAGAGAGCGATAGAGAGAGGAGCACAAAGAAGCTGGCCAGTATCGCCCGCGGCGAGGCGGAAGAGTCGAGTTCTCTCCATTTTCCGTCTGGCTGGGGGAGGTCCTCGTTTGAAACGGGATCGATCTCCGTTCGACTTCTATTTATACGACGATATTTGCCTCGAAGTTTCAAGAAAAAAATGTCGTGTAATTTTAAAAAAGAAATAATTGTCTTCTTGCGCGTGAGTTAATATCCGCGTCCTTTCGTGAACAAAAGATCGTTTTCGAAAAATAACAATTAATAATTTTGCACCACGCGTAAATATAAAGTTAACAGGGGCGCGCTCTGTTGTGTTAAATAAACGAATCGTAGCGCGAAAGGGGGTAGCTGCTTTTTCCACGTGAACTTCCCCCGTCTCGCGCCTCGATGACTTTTCCTCTTCGGAATATCCTTTGTTTACATTCTACATTTGCAATGAGTACGTTATATGATAACACATGTATACGTTAACATGTATACACAATACACATACACACACATACATACAATGCGCGCATATTATATGTTAAACGCGCGCGCAAAGACGAAATGTCGGCCCAGCCAGTCGGCTTTTTGCGGAGCGCTGGCAGTCTGTAAGTTGAGTTTAATGCATGTTGTTTTGTCTGTCCTTTGCATGCAGGGATTCGGTTTTGTAACATTCGCAAATAGTGCTGACGCGGACCGGGCACGTGAGAGACTACACGGCACCGTGGTTGAGGGAAGAAAGATTGAGGTGTGCATGAACTTTCTTATACTTATATATATATATATACATACATATATATATACATCGCCATTAATACGTGAATAGATATATTCTTTTTCAGGAGAAGAAATGCGAGTGGGCTCATTTTTTTTTTTTTCTCAAAAATGTGCACACTCGTTGCGATACATAAAACAACGGCCATGACTTGAAGCTCGATTTTTTTTCAAAATTATAATAGATATATGTGTAAATGGTAGTTTGTCTCTTTGATATTTCAAATTTTCATTTTTTTTTATCGAGCTGTAATGGTCGATAGCTTTAAGTCAAACACTTCGATTCTCGTATGTCCATCTTTCATTTCAAGTTTAATTAACGGGTTATTAACTAATAATAAATAAAATGTTATTGTATATAATGTATCTACTTTGTATGATTTGATATGTTTTGAAAATACAACAGATTTCGAAAATGGACATGCGTGACGCGAAAAGTAGCGATAAGACACTTAGATTTAATTGCGAATCGATCGAGAACTGGCGACTGGAATCGCGCGCGCGCGCGTAGACGATAACAATGTTGTGCGCAAAACCGCTACGATTCGATACGTCGACAGTCCGCATCGTATTACGATTCGACGGAGCGTTTCGTTGGGAGAGAGAAAAAGAGACCGGTCTGGTATTGTGTCGCGATAATTAATGAAACGCGAGGTAATTTTGCGAGCTCTAGAGTAAAGATAAGGGGACGACGGGGACGAGCGAGAGAGATTTCTCTCGTGGCCTGAATCAATCTGACTGATGGCCACTCATGGATCCACGAGTGGCGCGCGAGCCACCGATTCGCGAGGCTCGATCTCCGCTCGAGGGTCTCGAGTGATCCACAAATTCTCTTTCGCGATTGGCCGGCCACTTGTTCGGTGAAAATCAGCGCGCGCGAGAGAGAGAAAGTTCCCCTCGTTATGTGATCCATCTAATCGAGTCATTTTATATTCGTATGTGCATATACGTTTTTTTTCCGTGTTTTTCTTGATGATTCTTTTTTCTTCCGCGCGGTAAAAAAGTTTTAATTCATCCGTCGAGTGCTTGTGCGCTCATGCGAGGAATCCTAACGAATCCAGTAAGATATCATCTTATCTCGAGAGCTCGGAGATTATTTTTGTGCTATCATTGGAAAATAATAACGGTATCTCGGCATCAATACTTGTGTGCATAAGCTCCGTCGAGTCAGTGGAGGAGGAGATACACGAGGCAATCAAATGTGGCAACGGTTATACGTCGACATGGTAGATTTCTCTAACATGTGACACACATATCAAAATAAAAATAACAGTGATAGTATTTCAACAACATTTTTTGATAATTGGAGATACATAAAAATTAAACGATAAAGTAGTGGACTAATAATTTTGTTTATTTTTAACATTTAGTACACGATCACTTGATAAAAAATGTCTCCGAAAGGTAAAATAATTTCGTTTTCACGGTGAATGAAATTTCGTCAAGTAATTTTCTGGTGTAACGTAGAGTTCCCGGCTCTCTTGGCTTTGATCATCGCGCGGCAACACGCCTACAGCTTTTGTAGCTCTCGGCCGGTCGCGCAATGACCGCAGCATCTGCTGCGTCGATGCTGATACCAAACAACAACGGTTTAACCTAATTGAACAACTCGATTAGTTTATCTTCTCGTGATGGCTAGAGCAGCTCGCCAGACTGCGATCTTGTGCGCGTAAAGCATCGCTTCGTTTAACTAGTGATCACGCCTACGGAATTTAGTGATCAATATCGTGTACGCATGCGTGCGAATTTAGAGAAATACCTAGGGAATTATATTGCAAATAAACTTGTTTTAGTTGAAATATAACGGTTGAAATATATTTCAAAATTTTCTTTGCGAGAAGATGAAATAGACGTATTTTTTTACCTTTTGAAAAGATTCTTATAAGAATGATGCGAAAGAAATTGCTTCCGGGAAGACACAGAGAGAAAGAGAGAGAGAGAGCGTATTTCTCTCTCGTCATTATACTGCTTTTCGGAGACATAATAGGATTATATTCTTGAATCACGGCCAGTGATTACTCTCCTTCGGATTTTTTCCGGTTCGATAATGGCAACCGTTTGATCAGAGGCGAACCTTCTTATTGCGACTTTAATGGCTCAATTAAAGCTTGAAAGCTCGTCCCTTTTCTCGTCTCGTCAATTTAATAAAATTCTACGATGCGCAAGTATTGCCGAGGGTCGAGCGCGAATGTAACATATCTTTGCAAGAGTTTCTTCCCGTAAAATAAACAAATTATCGTTTAAAATCTCTATCACAGAAATGTTGCAAATTTTCATTTCAAATATACGATTTGGTCACAGATTTCGGAAATCACGACGAAATACCGTTGCCAGTTAGTTTATTTTTTGCCTCGAGAATCTGTCCGTAATGTCCAAAGCGAGTAAAAAGAATCGCATCAGAGTTGTGTTTGCCAACGCGGATTTGAAATGTCACACCGCGAAATGTCACTCGCAATTTTAAGCGCTTGTTTGCAACAAATTTGCATTATCAGTGTTGTCCCTTGTGAAATAAGGTTTGTTAAACAAGACAAAGAAAGATTTGCGCTGGCAATGCGCCTCGGATGCGAAGTGAACGAAGTTGAAGGGGTGGACGCGCTCGAAAAAAAAAAGTCGTCGAACGACGAGTAAACGAACCGTACAAAACAGCCGGAAAATCCGCTAGTTGGACGAGATCCGGCCGTTGTGGTGGATTCGGCTACACCATGAGAAAAAGAGAATTCACCGAAAAAAAAAAAACAGCAAAATAAACTAAAAGACAATCGCGAAAAACGTTGTATCTCACGCAGATCTCCTGTTATTCCATAGAGAGCGTCTGTGCGAGAGAAAGAGCAAATAAAAAGGTAGAAACGAGCGAACGAAAAGACTTGTGCTGAATAGTCGATTGAAAAATCTGAGAGAGCGAGCGAGAGAGAGAAAGAGAGAGAGAGAGAGTGAGAAAGAGAAAGATGGTCGATCCGATTGAATCGACCGATCGAGAGAAAGATCGATTAACGGGCAAGCGCTGAGAATCGTGGGACACTGAGGAGGCCACTGAAAAAGAACCTCGCAAAGTGTCCGAAAAGGTAAGGAAATCACTGCAGCGAGAATCCGTTTACCGGCGAACAAGAACCAGGGTTCATACGTGTATACATGAGAAATACAACTCGCACTGCCCGCTCTCTCACGCGGTACACCGAAAACCGTGCCATGGTCGATTTTCACTGCTGAATACTTGTGTTTTATTTCTTCTTTTTTCTTTCTCTCTTCGATTACATTCTCATTTGATTTCATCCTCATTTCGCATTCTTGGCGTAAGTGAGTGAAATTTAAACAGCTTGTTTTTTATGTATTTTTTATTACAGTCACATACATCAGTTTTATTCAATTGTTTCATTTTGTTTACATTTCTGTTTTCTACAGTAACATAATACGTTTTTAGTTACGTTTCTTTTTCATCCTTTTCGACCGGCACAGCGCTTATTTTCTTCTATAGAATAAAAAGTTGTATCTAAAGGTTCACGATGTAACCGGTGTAATAATACGTTTTAAAATGATAATAGCATGAGCTTTAGTGTAAAGAAAAAAAAACGTGTAAAAGCTCAAGTACTTTCGCAAATGGCAATCGAGACAGTTTGAAAGACACTGCTCTAAGTACACGTTGGTAACGACAGGTTAATGACGTTTCTTTCACGAGCAATTTGCATTTTATGTGTGTCTCTTGCGAGCGTATTTTCACGAGGGAAGAATCGTGTGTGAAGGGAGGGGGTCTTCACACACATTCGCCAATTAAAACGTGAGACGTACTTTTAAAACGATTATATCGCCCACGTCATCACTTTTGCGCGACGACGTTTGACCCGTTTTACCCGAGCACTGAGCACCCCAGATCCTTTGTTGAATTTTCTAAGAGCCGCGTATATAGCGAGAGGTTAAAAAAAAAAGAAGAGGCGTGGACGATGTAACGCGTCTGCCAGGAATAACGAGATGGCGGAGAATGGTAAAAAGAACGAGAGCTCCAACGAGAATTCTTTTACGCGTAATTTTCTCACGAACGTGGCGTAGCACTTTAATTGTGGAAGAGATTAGGGTGGGGTCTTAAATTAGAGACTGCGCGCTTTTTTCGGCTTTTCGCGTTAAATTTCCCCCGCGTTGAATTTTTACAAAGGACAAGCGGAGTAAAAAATTTGCGCGCGACGTCTGTGCGGCAGAAATTTTGCAGAATTTTACGAACTATACCGATGTATTTATTGCGGAAGGTGTAGCGAACGGAGGAGGAAAGAAAAAAAAATCGTGCAGGCGAAGCGCCGCCCAGTCGCGAATCTCTCGGCGAAGTTCTCCCGAGGGAGGAAAGCATTTTATTAGTTAATCTCTCTCTCTCGGGAGACTTCTTAATTGCCGTTTCCCGACTTTTTAATGTTCACAAGATCTCTCCCTCAAACTTTAAATAATTCTGACCATTAATTCGACTCAGTGACCTTGGAGATTGGATCTCCAGATGGAAGTATCGAGATCGATCAGTGTTTGTTTACGTCGCTTCAGTACGCAAAAAGACATAATTAATATTATAATTTGGAAAGATCGCTCTCGTTTTTAATTACGATTTGAATTTTTCTCTTTCTTTGATCCTCAAGATATTGCGCCGGTGTTAATTTCCGACCTTCCATAATCGCGATATTGAAGCGTTTTGCAAAATCAAGCACGTACATTCTGAAATTCTCTTCTCGTTTAAACGTGATGAAATTTTCGCCGTTTCTATCAATCTTCTTTTTTTTTTTTATCACGATTGGCAAATATCTACGTGATGTATTTTATCTCCGATTTTTTTCGAATTCGTCCGCACGCGCGTGAATAACGAGTGATTAAAATGATGATCCTTTTTGACGTCGTGTTCCTATTTATCGAGATATCACTTTTTCCTAGTAGTCCACGCCAAACATTTGTCTCTAATAAAAAACCGCGGAATAGATTCGTCGATAGTTCGCGAAAAAAAAGAGC